TTCCTTCCTTCCTTCCTTCCTTCCTTCCTTCCTTCCTTCCTTCCTTCCTTCCTTCCTTCCCCTTCCTTCCTTCCCCTGCCTGCTGTTTGTTTAAAACTAAGCCTAAGGGAGAGATCTTGAAAATTAGTTCACTGCTTGGTGGCTTTTGGCTCGTCCTGATATTCTGTTCCTGTGTTTTCCCCCCATTGGAACAACACAGTGGTCTGTACTGTGTGTCTACAAAGGGAACAGCTTGAAAGGACAAAGAATAATTATTCACCATGAATCCTAATCGTGACCAAGTTGCCTGATTGGTGGGCAACATTCCACTCTGGACCTTGGTTCCTCACCACTGCTTGAGAGGCCACTGGGGGGAAAAATGGTGAGGGGAGTGGCATCCCCCGATGTTGCCATGTCATGGGATGCTCTAGGATGAACCCTAGACTGTCCTGAAGGGAGGAGACATCACTTCTTGTGACACAGGGAGGAGGGGAGAGGGGAAGAAAGAGAGACCCCCTCCTCTTCACTAAGAAGTCTCCCCCCAGCACTTCTCCTGTTGTTTCTGTTGTATATGTTCCTGTATTCCAAGATGCTTTGGGTCTTCAGGATATAATTAAACAAATACAATTTAAATACAGTTAAAAAACAAAGAGAGAAGCAGCTGGCTGGCCAACTACATGCTGCTCCTCACAAACGTGATCCAAACATCAATGAAAGTCCTGCCTTGGCCTTGCACAGCCTTTGGAAATGGACACATTGTGCCATCCACAATGACTCTTACTGAAAAAGCCCTAGGGTGATGATAAACCTCCGTGAAGGGTCAAGGAGCAAAACGTAGTTGCCACAAGGTTACATTCTGGGAGCCCTGCAAACAGCCAGACCTTAGGTCACGAAGGGCTTTATGCTTGAGGAGCAGAATCTTGAACTGAACCCGGAACCTAACATGGAATCATCGAATCATAGAGTTGGAAAGGACCTCCAGGGTCATCTAGTCCAACCCCCTGCACAATGCAGGAAATTCATAAATACCTCCCCCACACACACACACAGTGACTGCCGTTCCATGCACAAATGACAAAAAACCTCCAGGATCTCCAACCATACTGGCCGGGAGAAAAATTGCTTTCTGACCCCAAAGTGGCGATCAACATTTCCCTGGGCGTGTAAGAAAGGGCCACAAGAACTAAGCACTGAGGCAAATCTTCCTGCCCTCCCTCTCATGATCCACCTAAGTTCACAGAATCCGCATTGCTGTCAGATGGCCATCTAGCCTCTGTTTGAAAACCTCCAAAGAAAGAGAGCCCACCACCTCCTGAGGAAAGCCTGTTCCATGGAGGAACCGCTTGTCAGGAAGTTCTTCCTAATGTTTAGCCAAAAACTCTTCTGATTTAATTCCAACCCATTGGTTCTGGTCCGACCTTCTGAAGCAACAGAAAACAACTCTATACCTTCCTGTATACGACAGTCCTTCAAGTACTTGAAGACAGTTATCATATCACCTCTCAGTTGTCTCCTCTCCAAGCTAAACATACCCAGCTCCTTCAACCTTTCCTCATAGGACTTGGTCTCCAGACCCCTCACCATCTTTGTTGCCCTCCTCTTGGCACGTTCCAGCTTGTCTATATCCTTCTTAAAGTGTGGTGCCCAAAACTGAACACAATACTGTAGGTGAGGTCTAACTAGAGCAGAGTAAAGCAATACCATCACTTCACGTGATCTGGACACTATACTTTTGATAATACAGCCCAAAATTGCATTTGCCTTTTTAGCTACCACATCACACTGCTGACTCACGTTCAATGTATGGTCTACTAAGACCTCTAGATCCTTTTTGCACATACTACTACCAAGACAAGTCTCCCCCATACTATAATTATTCATTTGATTTTTCCTACCTAAATGCAGAACTTTACATTTATTCCCACTGAAATTCATTTTATTTGTTTTAGCCCAGTTGTCCAGCCTGTACCATCCTCTATATGATAGCCCTTCAAGAACACAGTACTCTAGGTGAGGTCTAACCAGAGCAGAGTATGAATGTTTTAAAAACCAAACAAGCATAGTGCAAAATATCTTACCAGCCACTGGTTCTTTCTTTCTGGTGTATATTTCATAGATGAAAATAAGAGCTACTAGAATAATGACTTCGGCGGCTATTGCAAGGAATGGTTTGAGAGGTGCCATGTAGGTCAAAACTTTAAGGGATGCTTTTCCTCTGCTTTCACCTAGTTGCAAAAATATAGCTTCACACCAGTAAAAACCTCCATCATTCTCCGTGAGGCCCAGCACCTTCAGTTTTGTTATATTGAGATTTTTTGGAGAGACTTGGTATTTTTCTGGTCTCAGAGTGTCATTAATAAAAACCTGATGAGGTGAAAAAAAAACAAGTTTAAAACTTTATTGGGGATGATGTGAAATCGATTTTAACAAACTCATGCTCCGTTAGAAATTTAGCACCTGTCTAAAATGAGATCATAACTCATGGTCATGGATGACATTTATTCTCTCGTCTTGATGTATGAACAACATGGTGCCAATAGCAAGACGTGCTAAAAATATAGCAAGACGAAACTTGTACAAGTTGATTTGATTGACTCCATACTAGAACATTACTGTTTGCAGCATCTTTTGAGAGATCACTGTTTTCCCCCATCATCAATGATGCTAAACTTTTACCTGTTCACTTCCATTCATTGTATACCAGACCCAGTCCAAGGGAACGTATTTGCCACTGTCACATGACATGACCACGGAATCACCTTCATAACTAATTAAGCTCTTGGATTTTCCTCCTATTTCAGGCACTAAGATAAAACAGAGAAAACCTCTATGAAGTGATATATCCAAAGGTCTGCAATATGTATATACAGCCTCTATCATACATATCCAGCTATTTAGTTTTAAGCTCATAATTAACAAGCCTGTTCTTTCCACCCTGTCTCATAACTAGACATTGGATTTCTTATATCTTTATCAAATTAAAGGTATTTCTAGCTAGTCTGATACATAGCAAATTAGCATCATATTAAAAGAAATTTCTACAATCCAAGCAATTCTTGCATTTACAGTTTGACATGATATTCCCAATTCTGTAAAGGTGACAGAAATAAGGAAAAATTAGCATAAAACTAATACATAGGAAATATGCATGGTATAAAATGGTACCAGAGATAGGTCTAAGGGCCCCATGGAACTCTGGAGATGGTTCTAGGTAATGGTGATTTTTTTTCGGGATTGCAACATGTGGCATGATCCTGCAGCAGCGGATTCACAATATGCTTTCTTCCAAATCCAGCTACATTTACGTGGAAATAAACTGTCTTCTAACTGCACTTAAACTACTGCCACTGAAATTGGAGGATGGCGCCTAAAGCTGGAGGAACATCTTCCAGTTTAAGGTAGGAAATATGCCACTATCCTGTAATAAAATGGTACATTGTTTTGTACATATATTCCAATAAGAACATGGTAGAAAAGTAGGATGGACCTCTCCTGACCCCTGTGTAGTGTCATCTAACCCTTACATGGAGCACCCAATAATGCAGTGGTTTGGATTTGCAGAATTTTACGCCTTTCCAAAAAGGGGGTGAAGAATCACACAAACTGGGCCTACATGTAATCGGACATTCTTGTGGATGCCCTGTTACATGTTGGAAAAGTGAGAAGTTGAGCACTGTTCAACATATTGCATGAATCTCACTGATGGATCAGAACTCAGCAAATAATGAAGTAAAAATGTTTCTGATTAGTACCACCACGTGTATGTCTGATTAATGTTCTTCAGCAGAGCATGATCTTTGTTATGGTTCTGTATTATAATGAAATTTTACTCCTTAAATAGCATGTGCTATTGTGCTACTTAGAAAATGAGGTGGACAAACAGTCTAGGCAGTTGGGGTATGGTAGAAGCATGACATTCCCAAAGGAATTTTATCCATTTTGCCGTATTTTAGAACAGTCCAGGGACTAGTCCATGTTTTAAGGGCCCTTGATATCATCATGTCAGCAATGTCAGGGTGATGCTGTTATTTGGGCAAAAACTCTATGGTAGAAGCCAATTTTATCATAGGATTTTTGCCCAATTACCAGAGTGTCGCCCCAATGTTGCTACATTGTAACATCACTTCCGGGTCACACTGGAAGTGACATAGACAAGTCACTGCAATCACAGCTGGGCATCCCTCCCACTCCCAGTAGGTGTCCCCCCCCATCTCCCACCAGTTGCCAGGAGGGACCTGGCAACCCTAGAGCTCATTATCTGTCATTGTGTCCTTCCTCTATAGTCTAGCTTTACTGTGTTGCAATGGTAGCTAGACTGGGCTCCTTGAAAAGCCCTCCTTTTGTCCATGATGTCATGTTGGGCATGCATACCCTGTACTGCATAAATCCTCCTCTTGCTGTTTTGTCAGACAGCAGGGGGAAGCAGTTTGGATGGCTGCTGAAGGTGACAGATGGCTTCTGCAAGAGCAGGGAGTGCTGGGTTGCCAACTTCCAGGTGAAGCCTGGAGAGTTCCCAGAATTACAAATGATCTCTTGAGTACAGAGATCAGTTCCACTGGAGAAAATGCCTGTTTTGGAAGGTGGATGCTGGCCTTATACTATGCTGAAGTCTCTTCCCTCCCCAGGTTCCACCTTGAAATTTCCAGGGAATTCCCTGGAGTTGGCAAACGTAAGAGAGTGGCAGATCAGGTGGCATCAGGAAATGATGGGTGCCCATGTTGATAAAGGTCCACTGCTAAAACAAAGATCCTTAAGCTTCCTGGATAGGAGGCCACCAGCTCTGCCAGGTCTATCCGCTTATTTCCATGGCCATTTAGATAATCATAAATGAAATAACGTAATGGAGAAAAAAATACTAACATACTGACAGTGGATGGTGTGGATATATTTTCATATAACTGATATCTTCTTTATGCATTTGCTATTACACTCAACATGTTCAGACTGGCTTACATAAGTGGACAGAACTGGGAAAAGCCATAGAGACGGTTTCATCTGGGGAGGGGAGGGTGTTTCAGCAAATGAAGGATGAGTAATCTAGGTTTCAGAAATTCTCTTAGTAGTAAAGTGTCATCAGACTTAGTAAAATGTCTGAACGCATGTGTTAATCCAATGAATGGACAGCGTGACCCCATGATTAGCTGCAATTTTGTCACAGGTTAAATCTGTTTTTTAATCTGTTGTGTAACTATGAAATGCTAATCACATGAACACACAAAGCTGCTTCCTACTGAGTCAGACCCTTGGTGTATCAAGGCCAATATTGTCTACTCTGACTGGCAGCAGCTCTCAAGAGTCTCAGGTCAAGGTCTTTCCCTTCACTTACTACCTGATCCTTTTTAACTGAAGATGCCAGGGATTGAAGTCAGGACAGATGTTCTACCTTCCCTTCCCTTTCGCTTTTCAGAAAGTCTATTAGGGTTTTTGCATTCCACAAACATCTGTGTAACTAAACTCCTCCTGAGGAAAGTGAAGACATTTACAGCTCAAGCACAGGCTTTCCCAAAGATACTTGTGCAACTCTATGACTGTGACTGCACATCTAAGGTAACGCATCATTAATATATGAGTGGCATTCGTCAAGGTGCATCACTGTTCTATAGTTAGTCACATTTTAATAATTAAGCAACTTGCATCTTCAGTCAAATATCTTCTTTCATCAGGGTACCTTTATACTATCCCATTTCGGTAGAAAGGGAGAGCAGCAGTAAAAACTGTTGCCAATCCTGTGCCGATTGGCAGGAGTGAGCAGAAACAAAACAAAACATAAAGTCAGAAAATTAGAACAAATCTCGAAGAATTGCTATAAAATTTAAAAAGGCAAAGTCATTTCTTAAAAATGAGGGGGAGAAAAGAGTCCTGCATTCTGTTACAGCACACATCTTTATGAGAAATGGGTCTTATTCTTGCATTCAGTTTTGCTCTGACTGGGATGCATGTTTTTGGACCTTCTGTTAGTCTGGATCACTCTGGCTCCTGGACCCTGCTAGAGTATATCTTCATATTATTTTCATTAGGAACGGGAACAATATCTCACTAATGAGCTGTAGCCTCCTAATGACATAGCTACACATTTACCTTGCCAGTTCACGGCATCAAGCACTTTCCAGTAAGCAAGATTTGTACATCTCTAATGGAATCAATTTTATGTCTGGGCCTAACAGCAACCAGTGATCTCAAGAAATAGAGTTTTGTCCTTGAGCTCAGTCCACTGAGCCATGAAGTACAGCCGGGTGACCTTGCCAAAAGTCAATATTGCTCAGCCTAATCTTCCTTACAAGATCATTGGGAAGGCAATAGGAAAAAACTCCTGTGTCTGCCACCCTGAAGTTCTTGCTAGAAGTGTAAGAAGCAAATTGAAATAAGTATCTGCTGCACTGCAAAGACTTAATTGTAATAGGGCCATTTCAGTTTTCTTACATATTCTATAAGTGTTTTCCATATCTGTAGTTTCACCTATTGCCTGTATGTACCCCTTATCCCTGAAATGAAGATGCCAGATGTGTAACTCGAGTTAAACTGGGTTTAGTTAATAGCAGCTGTGCTGTGCCATAATAATCACCCCCAGAGAACCCCCAAGTTTCTGTATCAGAATGTATTAGACTTCTCATTTCACTTCCTGTAGGGATATCTACATGGAGGTACCCCGATATAGAGGTAGAGGAGAACAGATACATGGTTTCTACTTTGGCTATAAGAGAAAAGCACAAAGAACAGAAAGTAACATAATGGGGCACCATCGTATAACGTGATGCGGGTGTGAGAGCATTTAAACCCTAAAATCTTTTACAATAAGTTACAATTAGGTAAAATATTTCCCATTACATTCACAGTGGAAAATTCAAAGCAAACTTCTTCATTTCAGTGGGACATCCCTAGTTCTACACCAGTAAAGTGTCACAAACCATGGTGCAACTGGATTGTGGATCAGAACTTAATTCTTTTTATTTATCCTTTCAATGGATTCTTGCTTAGCAGAAGTGCTCTGCCTTATTTTATTTTCCAAATTCGGTCTCTAGATTCTATCTATTTTCTCTCCAGAAAAAGAGTAAATGCCCACTGGTATTACTAGTCCAGTACAAAATCTGATCATATGAGGTTAATGTGAATAAATAATAGCATAAAGGAAGCAACATTGCGGGATCTTACCTTGGACATCAAATATGCCTTCAGCTTTTTCCTTAGTTTTGAAGATACATGCATAATTCCCCAGTTGGGTTCTGTTTTTGATCTCTGCCCTGAAAAGAATAATAAATTATACCACTATAACTGGTAAAGGTAGAAATATAATAGGCAGGCTTGAACTACAAAAACCTAAAAATCTAAATGCTCTCCAGGGTCTCAGATGGAAGCCTTTCACATCTCTTCCTACCCAGCTTTTTCAACTGGAGATGCCAAGGATTGAACCTTGGACCTTCTGCATACCAAATAGAGGCTCTATCACTGAGCCATGGCCCTTCCCAGCAGTTGCCACAAGACCTGATCAGTGGTTGCTCAAAAAGAAAAGAAAAGAGAAAGCTTGGAGGAAGATGGGCACTGGCTTTGGGTGAGTCCTGGCCAACTCTTTGCCTCCGGTGGGAGGCAGAATTCCCATTACAGGACAGGGATGCCAGAGGGCACGCACAGTTAGTTAAGTCACCTTTACAAGCAGCTGGGAGGTGGCAGGTGGGGGAGGGCACCTGACTCCCCTCCACATGCTGTGAGAAAGGGAGTTCACAAGACAAAGAGGAACAAAGTGGCAGGACCCTCCTCCACTCATACTGCCAAGGCCAGTAGGGGATGTCTGTGGCCAACACTGGAAGGTGGCCTGATGATAGGCTTGCCAATTCTGGGTCAGTAAATTCTTGGAGATTTTAAAGGTGGAGTCTGTGGAAAGCAGGTTTGGAGAGGGAGGGAGCTCAGCAGGGTATAATGACATAGAGTTCACCCTCCGAAGCAGCCTTTTGCTCCTGAGGAACTGCTCTGGGTCTGGAGATCAGTAGTAATTCCAGGACATCTCCAGGCCTCACTTGGAGGTTGGCAAACCTACCCAATGGTGTGGTTGGTTGTGATGGAGTAACAAACAGGTAAAGAACTGTGAAGGATTAATTCTCCACAGAGACAGAAAGCCTTGAGTGACAGGCTGCTCCAAGAGATCTGATTGGTTAGCATCAGTTGAGCAGAGAAAGACTTCTTTTTTTACTATTTTTGTGAGTTGTGTGTGTGTGTGTGTGTGTGTGTACATGCACATGAGCATGTGTGTGTGCTTGTGAGCCCGGAAGTCATGGTGGCTTCTGGTGACCCCTAGTCGTGCTTGGACATTTCAGAGAGGTGGCTTGATAACCCGCCTCTGCACTCCGGCCCTGGTATTCCTTGGAGGTCACCCTTCCAAGTACTTGGCAGGGTCAGTCCTATTTAGCTTCCAAGATCTGACGAGACTGGGCTTGCCTGGGCTATCCAGGTCAGAGCACGCAGAGAAATACTTCTGAACTCGATGCTGAATAGAAAACAGGCCGAGACTAGCACTGACTGAGTTGAGTCTAGTACTGAGCATTCTGAATTCAGCACTGACTGAGAGGAGTTTAACGCAGTTGGGGGAAAGTTGGCAAGGACAAGTGGGTAGTTAGACTCCCATTCAGCCCAGGAAAAGGGATAGATTTTTTAGAGAGAGAAAATTTTCCCTACTCAATTGGAACAAGAAGATCGCTCTGAAGAGTGGAGATATCCCTGAACTAGTGTAGTTAGAAACTGCCTTGTAAAATCTTAAAGAGTCAGATAAATCTCAAGACTAGTACTGGTGTTTCAAGAGAAGGGGTTTGGGTACAGGATAGAGTCTACCAGCATTCTGGAAACCAAAAGAGTAAGTAAATACTCAAAGAAGTGTACTGGAATGTTTGGGAAACAGTGGAGCAAAAGCATTCCACCCTGAAGTTCCTAAGTCACTAGGAAAAGCTTATGAAACTCTCTACAGCCTGAAAAGCATATGAAGTCTGAGCATATACTGTTTTACCTCAGAGTTATTTATTTGAGTTACCTCAGAAATTTTACCCCTAATTTCACCTAACCTTTCCCCTCTATGGTAAATAAAGTATGTTGTTATTTTTGAATTTCAAAATGCCTTGAGTGCAATGTTCCCTCTAAGCTGAGTTAGTGTGAGCTAGCTCACAGTTTTTTAGCCTCTGGCTCACACATTTTTGTCTTAGCTCAGGAAGGATGGCTCCAGAGCAAAGTAATTTATGCAGTAGCCAAATCGCTCGCTCAACTTTGATGCCAGCAGCTCACAAAGTAGACGTTTTGCTCAGAAGACTCCTCACCTTAGAGAGAGCATTGCTTGAGTGCCATTTAAGTTGCTGAAGTTAAAGCGGGCTCCCAATTCTTCCCTCAATTTCCTGGGCTGAGCCAACAGCCAAAATATTGTGACAGAGTGGGACAGCCAGTAATGTGACAGGGTGGGACAGCCAGAGTTCTTCAGCAAAGAAGAAAACACATTACTTGGGTGGCTCAGTCAGTAAAGGGAAAGAAAAATGGAGGGAAAATCATGCCCCTGAGGGAGGGAAGTGGATGACCATCACACAGGCCTTTGGAAACCACCCCTCAGGGATGTCATAACAGTGAGTTTCCTCATTTGGCAAAGAAAAGCAGGCTGTCATGACTAGGGTTGCCAACTTCTACGTGTTGCCTGGAGATCTCTCGCTATTACAGTGGATTTCCAGATGACCAAGATCAGTTTCCCTGGAGATAATGGCTCCTTTGGAGGGTGGACAGTATGGTATTGTACCCTGCTAAGGGTACAATCCTCCCCAAATCTCATCCTCTCGAGGCTCCACCCTCAAAATCTCCAGGTGTTTCCTCACCCACATCTGGCATCCCTGATCATGATATGGAGTACTTGTTACTGGATATGAGCAAGGGTGGAGACACGGTGATGCCGATTTGGACAGTAGTCCTACATTTCTTCTTTTCCATCTTTATTTCAATTCATTTCAAATGGGCTGGATCTCACTTTTTGAGTAGAGTGAACATTTGGCCAAGAAACATTATTAGGAGCTAGATGAAGCATGCATATTATTTCCATTCTGCAGTCACTCCAGTGGCTGCCCATGTACTGGCTCAATTTAAGGTACTGAGTATTGCATTCAAAGCCCTCCAAAGCCTTGGTCTCTCATATCTTCAGGACTGTCTCTCCCTCTATGATCCACCATGACAGCTTTGCCCATCTGAACAGGACCTTCTAAGGGTGCCAACCTGCAAATGAGCAAAATCAACAACTGCCTGTACATGTGACTTCTCTGTTGTGGCCAAAGCCTTGTGAAATGGCCTTGCCTGAGAAGGTCAGGAAGGCTCTCTGTCTCCTGGCTTTCTGCAAACTATGCAAAGCCAAATTATTCAAGAGGGCTTTTCTGCATAGGCAATAGTGTTGCACTGTACTAAATTATTCACAAAGTTACTTGGATAAATTTTTAGGGACTATGGGCTATACTAATGTGTATAGCTCACTGAAACTAGGATCCTACTGTGGAGTTTGCATCACTAAGGCTGCAGTCACACGGAACATTAGCCACGCAAGAGAGATGGAAGACAGGCGGAGTTTCTGGGCGCGATCTCACCGGCACATCTGGGAAGCATAGCGCTTCCGTGGCACAACCGAGGCTTCCCGCCGAAAACATGCAGCAAAAAACTAGTACCTCGGAGGTACTAGTTTCCGGAAACTGCGGGGCAAGGGCGGGAGTCTGATCGCGTTTCCGGTGGCATTCGGCGCCCGCCCATATCCCCTTGCGAAAAAGGGGTTTTTTTCCTCCAAGTCTCCGTGGATGCGCACACGCACCCAACGGAGCATGCACATTTGTCGTGTACACAAAAAAAGAAAAGCAGTTTGCCACACCATGCACTTCTTCATTGTGCGCAGGCGTGTCCTGTGATCGGCACCTCTCCCTACCCTCGGAACCTCCACAGTACCTCCACAGAACCTCCACAGGAGGTCTGATCACTTAACCGCGCGTTAGTTTGCCCCGGGGCAAACAGCCACGCTTCCCCCCTGCAATTTCCTGCCCGTGTGACCGGAGCCTAAATGTGTCATGTCAACAGTTTGCTTTGATTCAGTTCTGTTTTTTAAATTTCCAGTTAGTTTTACAACTCAAATCCTATTGTGCTGTTTATGGAATGTCCCATTGTGTTGACTGGATTGACTCCCTCTGTGTAATCTACCTTGAGTCCCAGTGAGAAAGGCAGACCATAAATAATGTAAATAATAAACAGATGTGGTTAAATAACAGGTAAGAAATAAAGTGATTCAGAGGAACATACCTGTATTCTACTTCATTCTCTACATATTTCAGACAAATAGCCTTTAAAATATGCTAGGCAAATCATAACAGCCACTCACATATACTGAGTGCTCCAAATATTTTGGTGTTCGTCCTTGGTGGCATTGTCATCTCTGATTGTTGTATTACCCATCCTCCACGTGACCTCAATTGTTGCCTTGTCCGGCAAAGGGTTAATGTCCAAGAGGCATAGTAGTTCAAGGACAGTCGGCTGCCCTAATGTGATGTTTTTCACTTCAGTAGAAAATTCTGTTGGGAAAAGAAAGACATAGTTGACTAAAACTTTTAAGTTGTAAAAAGTTCCAAATATTTTTCTCAACTATTGCTTTCAAATTGGTGCATAGTCTGCTGACCTGAATGTGGAAGCTGGCTTTAACCCATCCCTCCTTTGCTGGAATGAATTTAGAGTGAATCGAGCACAGTGCGCACACACCTGAAGCTGCCTTATACGAGGTCAGACCATGGATCTATCAAGGTCAGTATTATCTACCTTGGCTGGCGGTGGCTCTGTAGGGTCTCAGTAGGACTGCCAGGTCCAGGTTGGAAAATATTTTCTCTAGGTCATTTTCTCTAGGTGAACTGATCTCTGTTGGCTGGATAGTAGTCATAATCCCAGGAGATCTCCAGCCACCAACTGCATGAGCCTGCTCATCCTCTCATACTTCTTTTTGGGAGCAATCCTGAGCAGGTCTACTGAGATCTATTGAATAGGGCTTACTGCCAGGAAAGTGTTCTCAGGATGACACTGTGTGTTAGGCAACACAAAGTAAGTAAGGAGGAGGAGATTGGATTTATCCCCCGCCCCTCACTTGGAGTCTCAGAGTGGCTTACAAACTCCTTTCCCTTCCCCTCCCCACAACAGACACCTTGTGAGGTAGGTGGGGCTGAGAGAGCTTTGACAGAAACTCCTCTTTTCAAGAACACCTCTGACAGAACTATGGCTTGCCCAGGTCATCCAGCAGCTGCGAGTGGAGGAGGGGGGTTCTCCCAGATTAGAGTCCACGCACTTAACCACTACATCAAACTGAGGCTGAGTAAAAGAGGCTGAAGTGGATTTCAATTATTCAGTTACTACTGCACTGCTACTAGCATGACTGGGACTGGAGAATGCAGAATGTATTTAAGTGGGTGTGGCCGAAGAGCTGGGTGGGGCTTCAGCAGAACTTGTAGCTCTACCATTTCTGGAAGGCGCCAGCTACCAATGGAATCAAGTATTTACTATTATGTTACATGAGAAAACTCTAAATCATTTGGTCAAACTTACGTCAAAGGAGCTGGATCTACATTTTAAACAAATACTGAAATAATTTTGCAGATTGATATGCTCATGTATTAAAAGCCTTCAATACTGTCCATGAAATCTTCACCTCTTAAAAAACAAACAAACCCTGAAACTTTCCCATTACTATTTTTGGAAGGTCTTCTGTATGTGCTTTTGAACACAGAGGTCATTTGCTTCAACTACACTAGAGCTGCATACTGTACAGTACAATGGTTGCAGAGCAGCGTAGGAATAAGCATAAGAAATAGGCACACTTGTCTTTTCTTTGTCACTGGCTTAAGAACGCGTTTTCTTTTGTGTCACTGGTTAAGATTCTGATCAGAAAAAGAAAACAAACACTCTTAAGTCCTTTTGAGTAAGCAGGAACCTCTCTTTCACTCCAAGTGGGGCACCTGCCAAGTTGGAATTTGATGCGAGTTTCTCATGTGTTGCCAGGCCAATGGTAGTTTCCAACCTGGCAGGTATCCATTCATGTGGGGCCATTTGTACTGGGAAGGGTGCCTGCAATGGGAGAAGAGGCTGCTTCTTACATGGTGTGAAGAGGGGCAAAGGGCCATGAATAGGGTTGCCAGGACCTGCGCTCTTGCTGGTGGGGGGTGGGAGCGAGCTTTCCAGAAGTGGGAGGCGGGGTGATGTCACCGAGCGCGGCATCATCACACCAAGGACATTGCCATGCAATGCCTTCAGCGTGATGACATCATTTCCATGTGGCATCATTACACTGGGGACGTCGTGCCAGGTTGTGGCACTTGGGGACAGGGCTTCCCCCTGCTGGACAGTTGGCTAGCGGTAAGCAGGAGTCTGCAAAACTGGGGGATCCCTCGCTCCCACCTGGGGGCTGGCAACCCTAGCCACGATGCCTGCCATCTTGCAATAGCATCCAAACTGTATACCTGAGGTATCCAACACAGGTAGGGTTGACCTTTCTCCTTTTGCCAATGGTCTGCTTCACCTCTGCTATTTATGTGAATTTGTTTAGTCTTATCCGGTAGAGTCCCTGTTTTGTTAGTTCTGTTTGTTGGCTAGAAGTATAGATGGTACGAGCTTCCTTGTTCTGAAACCAGTTGCTCCCTTTCCTGTACCCCCTTGTTAATAAATGGAAGTTGTTTTGAGCTAGGGTGGCCAATTTGCCTGCTGTGGCAGTCGACCTCCCACACTTGGCCTCAGGCCTCCAACACCATGCAATAGGACAGCATGGGAAAATGGGGGGAGGGGTAAAAACAGCATCCCATGATGCCATGATGTCACTTCCGGCTGTGTAACCAGAAGTGAAGTAACTGCATCGCAGGGCGCCCAAGGGTTCCCTCAAAGTTCTATGTTTTACACAGCCAGAAGTTATGTTGTGGCACCACAGGACACCGCTGGGTAAGTCTCCCTCCTCCCCAGCATTGTTTTGGTAAGTCTCTGCCACCCAACCCCACCCAGCACACCCATCTCTACTGCATGAGAGCAAGAACCTTGCATGAGTGAGGGAAACTAAACCTTGCCTCTTTCTCTGCCATTCTTTGCTGCACTCCACTGCTTTTATCGGGGTCAATTTCTACAAGCAGAACCCAAACTGAGCCTGCAAACTCTGTCATGTTCTTCTTTCTTCCCATACAGGCTGTTCTAATTATGATTCCCCAGATCACGGACACATGCAGAAGGAGCTTTAGCCTTCCTCCCCTAATGCTATGACCCTGAACAAAAGCAATCCAAGAGGGCAGTCATTTGGCGCACTGCAGAAGAGCACATGGCTGAGGTCCCCATTCTGTGAGCCCCCCTCTCATGGAAACCGGCCTCACTTTTCTCCCAGCCTGACTGTTAGTAAAGCAATGGAGTGGAGTGAGATCAGGAGGGGAAAGGGGCCAGGTTTAGCTGCCCTTGATCTACAAGCCTACATTTCTTTTTAAAATACCCCTGGTCGTGGTGGAAAGGGTTTTCAAGGCAAGAGACCTTCAGAGGTAGTTTGCTATTGCCTGGCTCAGGGAAGCAACCCTGGACTTCCTTGGTGGTCTCCCATCCAAGTACCAATCAGGGCTGACCCCGCTTATCTTCTAAGAACATAAGAGAAGCCAATGTTGGATCAGGCCAATGGCCCATTCAGTCCAACACTCTGTCACACAGTGGAGAAGAAGAAGGAGGAGGAGAAGGAGGAGATTGGATTTATACCCCAACCTTCACTACCCAAAGGTGTCTCAGAGCGGCTTACAAACTCCTTTCCCTCCCCCTCCCCACAACAGACACCCTGTGAGGTAGGTGGGGCTGAGAGAGCTCTGACAGAAACTGCTCCTTTTCAAGGACAGCTCTTATCAGAACTACGGCTTGCCCAAGGTCATCCAGCCAGGTGCAAGTGGAGGAGTGGGGAATCAAACCCGGTTCTCCCAGATTAAGAGTCCACGCTCTTAACCACTACACCAACCTGGCCAAAAATACCAGGTACCATCAGGAGTTTCACCAGTGGGGCCAGCTTCTGAAATCTGATGAGATCAGGTTTAACTGGGCCATCCAGGACACGACAAAAAACAAAACACAAAAACCTACCCCCACACACACACTTTATATATTAATAGGTAGAAATGTGAATAAATATACTTTTTGCCATCAAGTGTCAGCCAACTTATAGCAGCCTTGCAGGGTTTTCAAGGCAAGAGTCATTCAGAGGTGGTCTGCCATTGCCTGCTGCTGCATAGTGACTTTGGACATTCTTGGTGGTCTCCCATCAAAATACTGATCAGGGCTGACCCTGCTTAACTCCTGAGATCTGACAAGATCAGGCTAGCCTGGCTTATCCAGGTCAGGGAATGCACAGAGGCCTCCTAAACCCACCAAGCTTGCCCCTAATTCATTCCTTTTGTCTGAGAAAATACCTCTGCAAGTACTCAAGGGGACAAAAGGAGAAGGAAACTGCCTTTGTGTTCATCTTGGCAGAAGGAAGGAACAAGACAAACTAGTTCCACAGAAACTCCTATGGGGTGAACCAGAAACGGGAAGAGGAAAACAAAGGGCTTATCTGAAACAAAGGGGGATAACAGAGGAGGCCCAACTCCTGGGAGCCTTTAAAAAAAAGTTATAGCTACAGTAAGCTGTAACTTTGTGTCCTAGACTGGAATGAAAATAGCAGCAAAACCAAGTTTGGTTTTCATGTAATTTGCATTTCTACTTCACACACAAAAAACCCCTCTCATGTTAAAAAAAAAAATGCAAACTTCAACATGAAGATTTTGACTCTAAATAAATAAATAAATAAGCTTGGCCTTAAAGGTAAGCATAGTCCCCAACCAACGCTCCCTCTAAGCTGTGGAGTCCTGTGAGCAGAAATTCTACTTTGTGAGCTACTGGCATTAAAGTTGTGAGCAGGTAGTTTGGCTGCTGCATAAAATTAGTTTGCTCTGGAGCCATCTTTCCTGAGCAGAGACAAAAATGTGTGAGCTGGAGGCTAAAAAACTGTGAGCTAGCGCACACTAACTCAGCTTAGAGGGAACACTGCCCCCAACCCCCCCTCTGAGTTTGCCGAGGGTGGTCACTGCCTTTCTTGGGTGTAAATGGAACCCAGTGAGGATGAGACCCTTGAGGGCTCTTTACATTCACATTGCTGTAGGTGACTCTGACAGAAACTGAGGTATGAATTAGGGTTGCCAAATACCTGGAAATTTGGGGGGGGGGGGTTGAGCTTGGAGAGGGTGGGGTTTGGGTAGAGAAGGGACTGCAGCAGGATACTATACCATGGAACCCATCCTCCAAAACAGTCTTTTTCCCAGGGGAACTAATTTTGGTCGTCTGGAGATCAACTGTAATAGCAGGAACTCTCCAGGTGCCACCGGGAGGTTGGCATCCCCAGGTATGAATGCTAAAGACACTACCTGAGGGTAGTCCCCATTGAATAACATACTTACTTATGAGTAGACCTGGTTAGGCTTGCTCCCTGAATGGCCTAAGGTTACCCAAATCTCCTCATTTTAAAATGTGGCTTTGTGGTGTTTGAAGAAGACTTTAATCAGATGTTTTGACACTTACCTCCATGGCCAGGAGAACTAGAAACTTGCTGGTGAAAAGTTAAAGGACAGAACAAACCCCATGGTTTAATTAAAAGCCCTCATGAGGCCATAGCTGTAGACAAGTGATAGTGATGAAAATATACCTTTTAGGGTGATATTATATTTCATTTCTGCTAAAACAGGGATTTTCTCCGTCAGTTCCTTGGCATCTTCTGTAGTTTTAGATGGACCTGACAAAAAGAGACTTTGAGAATGAATTTTATTATCCTATATACAGGATTCAGAAAAGCATTATTTCTGTTCTTTCAGGTGTTCTTTAAATTGTACAACAACAAAAGGATGCTGGAAGAGGTAGCTACGCATTCGAAAGACCAAAGAGCTATCACTGAAAATAGAAACGCTTGGCTAACTTGCTACATGTAGTTTTTACTACGTGTTTCCTGTCCTACACACTCGCTGGCTGATGCTGGACAGGGACAGGTGTATTTATGGCATAATTACACCAGGACACAGTATAGGTTGTACTATTATTGAAGAACTGAGCATGACACATCTAGAACACATTCTGGGAGACCATCAGTGGCTATTAGCCACAAGGTATAGATAGGGACTCTGGGGAAAGTGATGCTCTGTCATCTTGGTGCTTGGGGGGGTCAACAGTGGGAGGGCTTCTAATGTCCTGGCCCCACTGGTGGACCTCCTGATGGCACCTGGTATTTCTGGCCACTGTGTGATACAGAGTGTTGGACTGGATGGGCCTTTGGCCTGATCCAACATTGGCATCTCTTATGTTCTCTTATGTTTTTATGTTCATCTGAATGTATTCCTTGATGGGTCATGTACAGGCCCATCGCTAACGTGGGGACCACAGAGCCCAGCCCCCTAGCATTTTTTCTGGGCCCCTCCCTCCCGGGCTGTCCCCAAAGTGCCTCAACTCACTGCCTCTGACTTGGCTGCCAGAAAACTGAGCGCCCTGAGCGCCTTGGCTACTTCCCCACCAGCCTCGCTCCATTCCCAGCCTCAGATGTGTGGTGGCGGCGGCAGCCCCAGCTGGGCCCTGGTGGTTGTGGCCAGCAATACCTAGAACAGCAGGAGTGGCGGCGGCGGCCCCAGCAGCAAGAGGTGCCTGGCTTGCTCTATGGTGCGGTGGGTGGGCAGTCTTGCCGGGCTAGCCTGGGCAGGTGGGCTGGGGAGAGCATCCTGCTGTCAGCCCCCAGATGCCTCTTCCCACTCCCCACACTGGATCTCTTTCTCCCCCTCCCCTGCCGTCCCCCTCCTGGATGCTGCTGCCTGCTGCCTGCTTTGCAACTTGCAATTGGAAGAGCAGGGATGCCGTACACTGGAGGAGGGCAGGCAGGCTGAGCGCTGGCCTGGTGGGCTTCGCAGATCGGGGTGGGTCTAGGCAGCCCTCAGGGATCCCTCTGCCCCCCTGACTGGAGGGGGAGAGAGGAGGAGGATGACAACAATGACGATGATGATGACTCTGCCCCCCCCCCCCAAGGCCTGGGCATTGCTGAGGATCCTCCTGAAGCTGCCACCACTCATTGCTACCTGGCAAGCAGACCACTCCTGATGGTGAGCAACGGACATGACCCCCAGCTGTGTTTTCCCCATGTCCTTACGGGGGGGGGGAGCCGTGGCTGCTGGACATTAACCCCCCCACTTGTCCTGGAGTCTGGTGAGGGTGCATGGCTGCTTTAGAGGAAGGCCAGCTTCTAAGGAGTCCCACTAATTATTCAATGCTAATTTAATTAATTTTGATTTGCTTAGCTGGACCCCCCTGGACCCCTCCCCAAAAATCCCCTAGCTACAGGGCTGGTCATGTTAGTACATGAAACAGTTGTGTGCCCTGGTAGAAAAGAGATTTATGCTGGCTCTATACCTTATCTCTGCCCCTGGATACAGGGACTCCACCCTTGGGTCAGGTTCTGCTCCTTGCTCTGAGAGATTGCCAGTATGTCTGCCCAGTAAAGCTAATTGCCACTCTGTGGGGCCATGAGAAAAACCATGCAGGTCCCAAGTCAGAAAAACATTCTGATAACCTTGCAGCATTCTTTCTCCTTTCACAAACACTATCCATGGATCTTCCAGTGTCTTGTCTACCTTAGCTCTAATTTCAGCTCGGTGTCTTTGACAAAGTGTAAGTGCTTGTTAGTGGTCTTTGAAAGCAGCAATGACCTGAGGCTGGAATTTGACCTGCAGTTTAACTTCAGAGCACTTCCTTCTAACTGTGTAGAAACTGCACATAGCTATGGAGAACAGGAGTCACTCTTGTTTAGAAAAAGACAGTTTGGGGCATTTTGTGGCTAAAGATTTCTTGCCCTGCAGGGGGTTCTTTCCATCCAAGATGATGCTGGATCATATTTGGATTACAGTTGAAGACTCTACTGGCCCCGTAGTTGGGATGGCATGTTAGGAGGCCAGGAGTCTAAGTTTTATCTTTGGAGAATTTTGAATGGAAACTATTCAGGCACCTTGACAAACACTTCCACATCAAGCGAGAAACCTACTGGGTTGTAGAAGGTAGTTTAAGAATGCAAGAAGAACCCTGCTGGGTTAGAACAAAAGCCCATCTAGTCCAGCATCCTGTTTCCACACAGTGGTAAACCCAGATGTTTCCAGGAAGACCACCAGCAGGGCAAGAAGGTAACAGTCCTTCCCTGCTACAGGAAATTTCTACAGTAAACCTCCACACTGAGAAACAAGCTGCCTGAATTTCTCTAAATATAACTAGGGTTGCCAACCCCCCCGGTTTGCCAGGGGTCCCCCGTTTTTTGGGGGGGTTCTACCCGCTGCGGCGGGGAAGCCCCGCCCCCAACACCCACAGCCACCCATCTCTCTCCCTTTAAGTGTGTGGAACCTGTGTTTCCTCCCAAGCTCAATCTCCGCAAGCTTGCAGGGAAATGCCAGCTTCATGCTCTTAAAAGGGAAACGCGGCTGCTCTTAAAGGGGAAACATCGGCTCCTGCATTTAAAAGGGAAATGCCGGCTCCTTTAAGTGCAGGGAACTGCCGTTTCTGGAGATCCGGGGCACGGGTGGGTGGGTGGGGGGGCGGCGGATGTCCCCAACATGACGTAATCACATCGGGGATGCCCCGCCCCCTCCAGGAACGCCCCCAAAGTCCCCCGTTGGGGGTGGAAGATGGACTTGGCAACCCTAAATATAACTCAGGGCAAGTTTATACAACTAAGGCAAGCTGTAAACATTTGCATTCACAGGACCACTTTAGGATGTAGATGAAGGCACTGCAGATGGGGTCACAAGGGTTGCCAACCTCCAGGTGGGACCTGGAGTTCTCACAGTATTACAACTGATCTCCAGACTGCAGAGATTAGTTCAGCTGGAGAATACAGCAATGTCAGAGGGTGGACTCTATGGAAGATGGGGACTTGAGGGGCACCATCATTGCGCATAATGTGACATAATTTCCAGGGAAAACCCAGAAGTGACATCATGTCACATGCAATTATTGCTTTTTAAAAAAAATTCCCACCGTCCAAGGGAATTATAGCGGCAAGGACATAGTCTGTGGCAGGAGACCTCACAACCCGATTTTGTTATCACATACCTACTGAGCTCTCCTCATATCTAATACAGTCACTAAAGTCCATTGTGGCCTAGAAACTTCCAACCCAGCTAGGGATACCAGCCTCCAGGTGGGACTCGAGAATCCCCTGGAATTACAGCACATCTCCAGACTAGAGAGATCAGTTCCCCTGGGGAAAATGGATGCTTTGGAGGGTGGACTCTATGGCATTGTCTCCCACTGAAGTCCCTGTCTTCCCCAGGCAATATCCCCAAATCTCCAGGAGTTTCCCAACCTGTATCTGTCAACCCTACCTCCCATCCCCTACCAGTGGCCTAGGGAGACCTGGCAAGCCTAAACTCAGGAGATGTCCAAGTAATAAATAGTGCCTTTCTGTATTTATTAAGAGAAGGGGGACTTGACTGGGGGTGGGTGAAGAATGTGCCCATCCCTAACTTAGAGTGTATGCAGCCTGAAGAATTTTGGTATGTGCTGTTTTCAGCTTGCTGAGACCTCTGTTTATTTTTTCCTATACAAAAGTGAACAATGGAGTCAGTGCACCTGGATTAAAACATGCAATTTCATCAACACACACAAGGCAGGCATTTCTCCCAGTATGCTTATTAATATTCTTATAGGAAAGTCACCGGTTAAAGAGCACTTCCAGAGAATTTTAGCTTTACTTTGACCCCGTCCACACGGCAGGGGAAAAGCCTCCAAAGGCGTGGCTTTTAAAAGCCGCGCCACAGTTGAGACGCTGCGGCGGGATCCCACGGATCCCCTGGCCGCTGCGCTTTTTCTCCCCGGCACATTCAAACGCCGGGGAGAAAACGCGGCCCTGACGGGGAGCCTGCCGAACTGCGCATGTCGGAGCATGCGCAGTTCGGCTAGGAGCCGGGATGCACTGGCGCAAAGACATGCTGGCGATCCGACGGCCCGGCTTGCAGCGCGTCATCCGGATGAACCACCTCGGTAGGTGGTTCACTTTTGATGCGCCGCATCGGGGGAAGGGCCAGATCGGAGACAGGAGCACAACGCCAGCCAGATGTTGGTGTGGGATCGCGCCCGTTTGCTCCGTCTCCAATCTGGCCCACTCCCAGCCCAAAACGCCTCGTGTGAACGGGGCCTTTGTGAAGAATGGGAAGAAAAATGTTGTAAAATTTCTAGGCATGAGGTTACCCTGCACCAGAGTTTTCATCCCCCCCAGTGGGCACTCCCTGCCACTGTTCAGGTGGCCGGTGGGCAGATAATGTGCAGAAAACTCAGGGGGATCCAATGCATGGTCTGACACGCTGATGTCACTCCCGTATAGCCACAAGTGATGTCAGCACAATGTTGGGGGAGAATTTAGCAATAAAGCAAAGCTCTTATGAGTTTTGCCCAAATGCTAGAGCAGGGGTGTCAAACATATGGCCAGCGGGCCAGATCTGGCCCCTACAGGGCTTCTATCCAGCCCTTGAGCAACTGGCTCTCTGCTGCTTCCTGTTCCTGCTTCCTGTTTCCTTCATCACAGCTGGTTTTGCACAGTGTCTCCTATTTCCTGCTTTGCAGAGGAGAGAAAGAAAGCCAAACCTCCCTTCCCTCAATTGGCTGAGGGCTCCTCCCTCCCTCCACCTCTGAGAAGGGAGGGGGAGGGCAAGAGCCAGAGAGAGAGAGGGAGAGGCCCAATCTGCATCTAGCATTTGCTCCGCTGTTTTACCAGACCCACAATGGAACAGAAAAAGATGCAGCTCAAAACCACATTCAAATACCCCAGGGCCAATGTTGTACTGACTGCAGAGTCACTCCTGAATGGCCATTAAATGGCCATAAAACTATGCAGACGCTTCCATAAAACCAAGAGGCATGCAGTCTGGACACTGCCAAAAAAATCCAACAAAGTGAAAGTGGCATGCAATTTCTGTTCCAGCACGGGTTTGGTAAATGCTAGATGCAGATTGGGCCAGAGACAGAGATAAAGAGAAAGGGAGTCCTGTGGCTCTTTTAAGAACACCAACAATGTTTTATTCCAGGTATAAGCTTTTGTATGTGTGCAGACTTCTTCAAAGAGAGAGGGGAGGTGGGAGGGGGAAGCAGGGAGGAAAAGAAAGAGCCAGTGAGAGCACTTCAGAGAGAGAGAGAGAGAGAGAGAGTCCTGTGTTTAAGACCAACAATGTTTTATTCCAGGTATAAGTTTTTGTGTGCAAGCACACTTCTTCAGAGAGAGAGAGGGACAGAGAGAGGGAAAGGGGGAGAAAGAAAGAAAGAGGGGGGGGGGTTCCATGGCACTTGGAGAGATCTCCCTTTCCATTTCTACCAGACAGCATAGCCTGCATTATTACTGGAAGGGAGCAAGGGACTAACAAAATTTGTGGCAGGGCATGAGCTTTCATGAATGATTGCTCACTTCTTCAGATACAGCTAGAATGTGAGTTATATCTGTCCTTATATCTTTGGAGAGTGAAGTGATTTCAGACAGCAAATGACAACAGCAGAGAAGAAACCTAGGTCTCAGTTCAGTCCAGGAGTTTGCATTGTCTTGAGCTTCATCATTAGTTGTAATTCAGCAGTCTCTCTTTCTAATCTCCCTTTCATATTTCTTTGTAAGAGAATTGCTACTCTTAGGTCAGCAACTGGATGTCCTAGAAGGTTAAAATGTTCTCCCACTGGTTTTTGAATGTTGTGGTTTCTAATAGCAATAGAAAGAGTAAGAGTCCAGTAGCACCTTAAAGACTAACAACATTTGTGGTAGAGTATGTGCTTTCATGAGTCATTGCTCACTTCTTCAGACTTATTTCCATTTATTACTGGCATCCTCCTGGACTGAATCCTGCTGGACCAAACTGAAATCTAGGTTTCCTGTCTCATTGCCAATGCTGATAACACCATGCCTACTATCACACCTAATCCAATCACACCTATATCAGATCCGGCCCATGTAACAAATGTGTTCGACACCTCTGTGCTAGAGGGTATCCCAGTGATACTTCAACATCACTTATGGGTGGACAGGAAGTCATGTTGGTGTGTCATTGGTGACATCATTACACTGCCAGTGAGCCCGCCCCCCATAAATCCCCCCACTAACTGCAGGACCATTCCAGGCAACCCTACTCTGCACAGCCACTATCACTGCTGGAAATAGTATCAAAATTAGTTATAGCACCCACTGAAGAAAAAAACAACAGATCATTACCTGTGATATGTGTTGCATATTCTGATCCTGTGCTGCCTGAAATGTTCACTGTAGTTTGCTGGCTGGTAGTTTCTGTCATGGTGGCAGGAGCTATTTTATTTTGTAAAAATAGAATGCTTTAGTGATAACAGTAGGGTTGTGGGTTTTTTTTTTAATCAAAGAAATAAAATAGTTCATAGAATGCAAATGTTCTTATAGATTCTCTTTTTAAAACAGCAAAGCAGTCACTAAAATCACATACAACAACCAGGCTGTCATTATGACAAGGAACCTGGGAGATCCTTCGTTCATGTGCTCACTCCTCTCTCTCTCTCTCTCTCTTCTCCTTGCTCCCGGCTTCTGATGCAAACCATAATTTCATGGTTCTTTCTCCATCCTCCAAACCAAGATTACAAATTACAGCTAAATCCTGGGGTTGCCAGCCCTCTTCTGGAGGCAGGGGATCCCTTGTCCTCGGGCCCCACCCCCGCCACCAATCAGCTGGCCAGCAGAGCTGGAGGGAGGCCCAGACTACATCATCGGTGATGTGGCAACATAACTTCCAATGTCAGGTGACACTCTGGTATTTGGGCAAAATCTCTACGGTAGAAGCCATTTTTACCATAGAGTTTTTGCCCAAATACCAGAGCATCACCACAACATCACAATGTGATGATGTCACGTCTCGTACATGCCAGATGTGACAACGATGCATTGCCAGCGACGTAGTCTGGGCCTCCCTTCCGCTCCTGGTAAGTCCCCACCCCACCCCCTGCCAGTTGCCATGAGGGCCCTGGCAACCCTACTTAATCCACATTCAGAATTCGGGATTGGAGGACAGAGAATTAGCCATAATATGTGATTTGGAAATCACAAGCAAACAATGGTTTGAAACAAGTAGAAGCATTTCATTTCCTATCTGTCTGAACGGAGAGGAGGAAGGAGGAAGCATAGAAGTTTGAGGATTCTTGGGCCTGTTTCCATAATGCTGCACCATAATTTACCATGGCATGTGGGGCCACCAACCTTCAGGTGGAGTCTGGAGATCCCCCAGAATCACAACTGATCTCCAGACTGCAGGGATCTACAATGACCTCCCCCAGGGGTCGTTTCGTAGAAAAAGAGCTAGGGGAACTCATTAGCATAACTCATTAGCATATGCCACACCCCCTGACATCACCGGAAGTGTGTCCATGGCCACACACCCTGACATCACCGGAAGTGTGACATAAATACTTGCAGAGTCAACCCTGCTTAGCTTCCAAGATCTGCAGTTCTTGAGCTGATGGGGACCTCTGGACAACCTGGACAGGTGGCACGCTAGTCTTAGTGGACTATACCTCCCCTCAAAAAAACCAGTGCTTTTCAAAAAGTATGATGGCCAATGAGGGGCCCGGCAGTGGAGCCGCAAGGCCGGCGGGAGTGCGAAGAAGCCCCACGAAGGCCCTCCCTGGCCCCAGGCAGGCAGGGGTGGGGAGAGGCGGGGAGGAAGCAACTTACCCTCCCTCTTCTCCTGCCTCCTCCTGGCTGAATGAGGGCCGGAAGCGGGGCGGCCGGAAGCAGGGGGCGGGACTTTGTCATGTGCCCCTCCCCCACACCTCACCCGGGGGAACTGCGATCCCCCGCGATTCCCCCCGAATCTACCTCTGACCTCCCCTGCTCTGCTCCAGCTGCTTTGCTTTAGTCCATCACAGCTGCTCTCCTCCCCCGCTCAGTTACCTTGTCCGGTTCCATCTGCGGCCACACATAACCCGAGTCCTCTTCAACTCATTGAATCATGCAGCTGACCCCACTTACTGCTCCATGTATTAGTACTGGTTAGTGATTTATAGATTTTAAGGACTGTTTTCTATTTTAATTTTTTGTATGTTTTAAGAGTGCTGGAACCCACCCTGAGCCTGCTGTGCGGGAAGGGTGGGCTAGAAATTAAAACAAACAAACAAATAAATGAAATGGAATTCAGAAGGTAAACTCTATGGTATACCATAGATTTGAGATGAAATCCCTCCCTGGATTCCTCCCTCCATGGGCACAGCCCCCAAATCTCCAATAGTTTACCAGGCCAGTTTTGGCAACACTAGTGGCATGTCAATGTTATAGGGAACAGTATCTTGAAAACCTGTGAACACTGTGGGTCTTTTGTCCAAATATGGAGAACACATCCTTGTATAGTCACATTTCAACATTATATTGTGAACTATGAGCAAAGCCCATTGTGGAAGGAAGACAATGGTCCCTAGAAAGATGCAACACAGATGCCCCTGGTCCCTCTCTTTCTCCCCCCTCACCAGCCCCCGGAGTCGAGGGGTGATGGAGCAGCCCGTGACTGGCTTCCCAGCTGGGTGCATCCAGTGGCCATTGGCCCGTATCCGGCGGCCTCCAGCCCGGCGGCACACAGGCCCCCGGCCAGTCAGAGCCCGGCCAGCTGCCAGTATTCAGGTTCAGATGACTGCGGCGGGGGCAGAAGGATCGGGCTCGGCCTGAGGCCCCCCTGCCCACTGGAGTTCCCAGCGCATCCGTCTGTGGTCGCAGCCCGGCTGGCAACCTGTAGGCGGGCTCAGGCGAGCGTGGCGGCAGCAGGACAATTGGGCTTGGGCCCCTAGCCACTAGAGCATCTGACCCGTCCGTCCGCTCCAACCAGAGTGAGGCCAAGATGCTGGGTGCTGCCTCTGTGGGCGGGACCACACCAACGGAGGCAGCAATGCAGCCAGTGGAGACAGACGCCCCGTGAATGACACACAAGCAGCCGTGCGGGAAAATGACGGAGCCAGCCAGAAGACGTTTACACCGGACAGTGACGGCGCGTGCAATTAAAATGAATATATGTTGTCTTCCCTATCCCCTACAAGCATTGTTAGTCCCTTGTCTATATTGAGTAACTGTACATCGCTTTCAGCCTACTGGGGAAAGTGATTAATAAATGGAAATTGTTGTTGTTGTTGTTGTTGTTGTTATTGGTGCCAACCAATTCAGGAGCATGTGGAATCTTCGGGAGAGACTCCACGACCAAAATGGAATTATAAATTATGATAACGGCCTCAGTGAGAGCCCAGGGTTCAAATCCTTGCTTAGTAATGAAGCTTACCTTTCTGCCATCCTTAAGGGGAACTGTAAATAATGGAGGAAGGATCCTTCAATTGCAACCTATTTCAGATTATTAAAAATGTCACAACAGATTTACAGAATTGTAGCCAAGAATGCTGTTTAGACAATACCAGGTAGGGCTGCCAGGTTCCCCCTGGCCACTAGTGGAGGATGGAGAGGTAGGGTTGCCAGATCCAGGAGGGGAAGGAGACTGTAAGCCACTCTGAGACTCCGAGTGAAGGGTGGGGTATAAATTCAACTCTTCTTCTTCTCCTTGACAACACTACCGGGAGGCAGGGATGTCATTTGCTCACTACTGTTGGGGAAAACCCCACCAATACTACCCTGTTCCCCCACATACACACACTGGTGCTGACTGGAGTGATGGGAAGCAAAGGTGGGGGAGGAACAGGCATGACTTGAGATGCCAATGTCACTTCTGGGTGGAGAAACTCCTGGCCGTGTGATGCTCTAGGAACCCCCCCCCCCCCAATCTTTACCATGGCGATCAGGGAAATTCCCAGAACATTGCACACAAAGTAGAAATGACACTTCTAAGTCTCCACATGGGACTGATGTCCCCACATTTTGAGTGAAGCCAATTTCATCAGTCTCTCCTCCCCAACCTCCCACTTGTTGCCAGCCACAAGCTTAATTTGGGCTGAATTACCACACATTTTCCCCCTGTAGACTGGGCAGGAAAAACTAACCCTAAAACTTTTTTTCTTTTTAGGACTCTCTCATCTGAACATTAATAAACAATGTTTCCAAAACATAGCTATTTACAGATGGGCTTAAACTTAATATAGCAGGTCAAGTTAAAAGTTTGGTGGTTTTCCTGGACCCAGCCTTCTTAATGGATAAGGAGGTTGTTGCTGTTGTTAGAGGAGTGCCTTCTTTTGATCATGTCTATATCATCATCTGGCTCTTTGTCTAGATTCTGATGACCTGGCTACCCAGATGCATGCTACCATAACCTCCAGATTGGACTCAGGGTTGCCAGCCCCTAGTGGGGGCAGGAGACTCCCCAGCCCCAGCTCGCATTTCCCACTGCTGGCCATCATTTCCAGGGAAAACCTGGAAGTGATGCCATACCTCTCTAGGAATTACTGGAAATGCTATGGTAAAACCATAAGAGCTTTTGGCAATTCCAAGAGAGGACCGATGTCACTTCTGGGGGAAACCTAGAAGTGACACCACATTGTCATCAATGGCTGCCCCCCACATCCCTCCCCCTTGTCCCCTGCTGGTTGCCAGACCATTCCTGGCAACCCTAATTGGGCTACTGTACTGTGTTCTGTGTGGGGCTGCATCAACTGCACTGGCTACCTGCTTCTAGGCCCACTGCTGGTCATATCCTTTAAAGCCCTTCATGAGATAGAGCTATTGAACAGCATCTCCCGCTATGTTCTCCTGGGCCAGTTACATTCTGCAGACAGCCTCTGTTAAGTATGACACTTAACTCGGAGGAACAGTTCAAACAGTGATTTCAGCTTTATTTCAGTGAGATCAGCATACGGCTCAGCCTTGTAAAGACTAGACCAGCTAGACAAATTCCATAGTCAAAAACAGCAACTTATATACAATTCTGGCTGGGATAGCCACACCCACAATGTTTACAGCATCCAATCACATTAACTACATTACATGCAATCACAATCAAGAGTTAACGTCCAATCCAAACCATTCCCTCCAGAATGCACACCATTGGTCAGTATTTACAATCCGCATAATGAGTGAAGCTAGATTATGCTTTACCATTATGTCTCTCAAGACATAACAGCCTCCTCCATAAAGTGGCTTCCCTTAGAACTGTCCATATGGCTACAGCAAGATCATGGGCTTATTTCAGGAGGGGCTCTTGGTCCCCACAAGCTCAAAAACATCTAGCGCCTCTGCTCTAGGATTTATCCCAGAAGAGACTTCATGGCTTCAGCACGGCACCAATCCCCTCCTCCAATTTGGCTCTGACTCTCCCAGCAGGGTAGGAGGTACCTCTGCTTCAGAGAACATTTGGTGGAAGCTAA